GTCACTCAGTCTACACCAAACACACACTTAATAGACTCTATGCACACTGACACACACACACAAAAGAGTATTATTACATACTTTAGCATTCCTTTTTCTACATTTTTAGTTACAAGTAGACATAGGAGAGTGCATTAAAAGAGTAGTTCAACTGTGCAATGTCCTTTAGAATCCCTCCATTTTTGTTCCACAGATGAAAGAAAATCATACAGGTCTGGAACGACTACTTACCTTTATGTTGTTGTAAAGAACTACAATAAATGTAGACTGGTGTTTTTATTATAATGAGATCATAGAAATGGCTCACACGACTTCTGTGCTATATTCCAAGTGTTATAAGTTATAGAATGGCTTTATGTGAGAAACACATTGGACTTTAAAGAATAGGTTTGTCAGTTTTAAACCAGCTTTGTATTGTTAGTGTCGGTATGTAACTGAACAATGTGAAACTCTTTTTGTCCATGTCACCTGCACTCACATATCCACATTTATTTTTGTCAGCAAATGGATGAAATGGATGAAAAAAATAATAATTTTGCGTAATCCAGCTGACTTTTGACAGTTTCAGGACTTTTGTTAAAACTATAGATCAAATGTATGCATTTTTGGGATTGACACAGGTGTTTTTTTTCACCCCTTAAACTGCTGCGATCACTGAGTGAGTTGAGTTCAAGAACTGGAACTGTCTGATTCACTGTAAAGATCTGACTCAAAAGAACGATTCATTCATAAATCAGACATCACTTCTCTCAAGTCGAGATGAATAACTTTATAAGACTTGAAATATAGCACACAAGTCATATTAATCACTTTTATGATACTTTTATGGTGATCTTGCATCCGATTAAGCTCCTTTTCTCATCCTTCAAAATTTCCTTCAAGTTCCACTGAAGTCATACAGGCTTTCAACAACATGATGGTGAGTAAATGATAACAGTATTTATTTATTTATTTTTTTTTAACAAAATCATTTTAGAACGCTCACGCACAAGTATTCTCGTCTGAAGCCGGTGATATTTGGTGATTAAGAGAGACGCACCAGTGCTCTTGTAAGCTGGTGCAGCCTGAGTGCTTGGACAGGATTATATAATGGGACAAGAATTCTCATATCCACTTTAAAAAAAGACATAATTAGCCATCTGCTCTCAGTGGACGCAGCGTCTTTGAATAGACCGAGAGATATGAGGTTTTTGCATTCTTGGGGTTTTGCTCCCTGATAACAGAGAGGCCAGAGCTTATGCTCAATCTCATGGAAAAGCTCAATTTTCTCTATTAAGTTCCCAGACTATATTTACTTATTTCTGGAAAGATGGATTGGGCAGATTGTGTGCATTGTTATTCTTTCTATGTTCTATCTTTAACAGCTTCATTATGATGTAACAGCTGATAAAGCACCAGGAACGAAACTGCTCTGGGAAAAAAAAAAAATTAAGGCTTTGTTTGGACAGCACACAAAATCTAATTTTTAGCATGACTCAAATCAAATTCAACCCAATGGTTCTCAACCAGGGGGTTGGGGTCCTCTAAGGGGCCTCGGCAAGCTTCCAGGTGGACCCAAATAAGTTAAATTTAATTATCTTAAGATAATCTTAATGAAAATACAAAATAATAATTATAATAATAAATAAAGATGTACAACATTAAACTTAATCAGGGGTAAATTGGGGTTGATCATAATCAGATTTGTTTGGAATGAGTCTGAATAGTCAGGGGTGCATTTCCCGAACAATGTTACATAGTGCTTAACTACCACAGTAAGACGCATGGAGAAACTAACTAGTGAAAGTGACGTGACGTGTGGCCAAGTATAGTGTCTCATACTCAAAATGTGTGCGCTCCATTCATCCCATCCAAGTGCACACACACAGCAGTGAGTAGTGAACACACACCCGGAGCAGTGGGCCGCCCGGGGTGCAGTTGGGGGTTTGGTTCCTTGCTCAAGGGTCTCACCTCAGTCGTGGTATTGAGGGTGGAAGAGAGCGCTGGTCATTCACTCCCCCCACCTACAATCCCTGCTGGTACCAAGACTCAAACCTGTGACCTTTGGGTTACAAGTCCACCTCTCTAACCATTAGGCCATGACTGCCTTCATGACTGTTTCCTGAAAATGTAGACACTTTGTCACACATGCATCTTTCGAACTACAGGTTTGATGTTGTTGTATGTTGTTTAGAACATTAATGACGTCATGCAGGAGGTGGAGTGAAAACCTCAGCTAATTAATCAGTTTGAGATCAAATTAATCTAAGATTATTGGTGTAATAAAAAAAAACAGCATTTGAGGACTGCGTCGTTATTTTTGTTTTCCATTATTTTCCTTACGTCACTCCAGGGTTTGCCGTGTTACTAGAGCACATCCAAATACTGTATGTGCGCTGTTAAAAACGGTGCTATAATTAACAATCTAAAAGATGTAGAATTAAAATTGCCATATGTATCGAATTAAAGGTATAGTTTTCATTAAGTTAGCATGCTTTGTTTAGCTCACGTGCATGATCTATTTAAGTCCATATGTCATACTAACTAAAATCTATGCTTCTAACCACAGGTCAAGAGCTGCAGTTCCAACCACACGATTTGGGAAACACCAAACTGTTGAACTATGTTGGTAGCAGTGGAACTTGCAACCATAGTTACCTAACTATGCTTTTTGGAAACGCACCCCAGATCAGTAGTAGTTTTTATCGTTGTTTGGAAAATGATTAAATATTGTCTGAAGCGGTTTCTAAATTCACTTAATTTTGCTCACTGTTTCCTCATCTAGTGAACTCAGTGACATTCACTATAGTGAATGAGTGAACACGTTAATAGTTAAGGACACTGAAACTCTCAGTTATTGCAAATCAGCCAGATATTGACAAATTTTGTCACTTTCAAAATGCCAGTGTAGACGGTGAGCCCTAAAGATCCCAAAAAAGTTTTGAGAATTTAAATAACTCAAAACCTAATCCAAAACCTATTTGTAATGTAAACACTTATCTGCCCTAATGCATTTTTGACAACACCAAAGCTCTTCCCACTCCCCTGTCAATCAATCATTGCACCAATGCGAGGTTTTAAACTGGCAGAAAGAAAATAAGCATCCAAAAAAATTGGATAAGCCTATGCACACGCATGCATGATTCACACACAGTGGCATGGATCATGTGAAGCATATACATCTGAAGTTCAATTACAGCTGCTCGACTAAAAATAACGATGAGCATTCAGCTCAAAATGTCACATTTGTGCAGAGATGAACATTTAAGTACATTTGCCATAAGACTAAACTGGCTTTAACTGGTTTAATTTAGCCTAGCTGGTCTCCAAGCCTGGCCAATAAGTTGTTCTGCTGGTTTAGCCTAAACAAATGAAAGTACCCAAAACCTCTCTAAAATGAGCAAACGACCAGCTAAGACATAGCATCACATTGACATCTTGTTTCTCTCACCAAACATATTGTTCTAGTCCACATCTTTCACGTCATTTGTCGTAATGCTGTAAACCGAGCCAGTCTGCCCTCTAAAGCCGCAGTGTTCTCAGGGTCTGCCTGAGGCCTGCCCTCTGTTCCACCGAGATGCAGACTTCAGATCAAATTAACAGCCTGAATAACTCGATAACACAAACTGGGGTGATAAGACTGATAAAGAACTTCTCACTCTTGAGGTCTAATGGTGGAGATAATTAGCTGGACTTTCATTGGCTTCCTCTCTCTCTCCTTCACTATAAGGTCATTTGATGGGCACTGACTGGAATGAATTGAAATCACCTCAAATACGTATTTTTTTTTAAATAATGATATTTCACTGATAATTATTTAACATTGAACTTCTACATTCTGCAGTGTAGCTCGAAGGAAAAATGAAAAAGCATTGGTAAAGTATTCCATTGGTTAATTTAGGCGGGTTGTTGGTCAGACTTCAGTTGAGGCTGCAGATTAGTGCTCGAATAATTTGAAATGATCTTAAATTATTACATTTATATTATCCAACCTTGAAAATGTGGCTACTTCATTGCTTGTTAGTGGTGACACACAGTGCCCTTGATCGAGTAACGTTACTCCAAATTACCCCTGGGAGACTGTATAATACGTGTACAAGGACACTTTGTATAAAATCATCAGCTAAATGACTAATTAACAATCAGCACTTCCATTACGTTCAATTATGATGCCTGGAGGAAAGGCAATAACATTTGTTAATGCAGCAGTGGTTAAATACTTTGGCTCATAGCTGAAAGAGATGATTATAACCTGCTCCAGTGTGCTTGTCTATGTATAAATATGTATAGAGTGTACTCTAAGTAACTTCTTATTATAAGTCATTTAATTATTAAACAACTACTTACTGGCAATTTCGTTATATTGATCTATGATACACAATAAAAACTTTGTTCATAGTTTTGTTGTTGGGCCTAAATTATGGAATGATTTATGGAGTAGCCATTCGTATTTCTAGTTTTAAAGCTAGGCTAAAAACTATATACTGTATATGTATATGTAAACTGCTAATTGGCTTTATTTGACCTTACCATACACAGCAGAAAATTATATTTGAAGAGACAGCATGTCAGTGTAGTGTAAAATATTGTAAAAATGTTTAGGCCTAAATTATCACATAACCGACATAATAATAATAATAAACAATTGGCAATAAGCATTATGCTATGGTAAATTATTATTAAAATAATTTTTTACATAGTAAAACATTTGACATCACCATATCTTCCACATATGTGGAAGAATTCCCTCCACGAACCATCACATTTGTGCTGTCTTTAAGTTATAATATACGACGCAATTACTGGAGTAATTTTGATCACATTTTAATAACTTATATCAATCCACATGTGCTTTTACAGTAACAAACAGGTTCTAATAGCTCAGGTAGGTTGTTATTATACCATTATATCACTTAATGGCACATACAGTTCCCAAAATGCCTGTAACATCGTCTGTTTTATACGCTAAAGTTGAACTTGGAAAGTTTTCAGACCAGTTAAAGACAAGAAGCGCATCTCACCTTGAAACTTGAAGCCCTCTATCTGGATCCAGAGGCACAGGTCCTCCGTGTCGCAGTCGCAGCTCCAGGGGTTCCCACTGAGCCCCAGAGAGCGCAGCGCCGGCAGCGCGATCAGAGAACTGATGTTGAGCGCCGTCAGGTTGTTGCGGCTCACGTCCAGCACCTGCAACGCCGCGTTCTCCGCGAACGCGTCCGGGTGGATCTCCGACAGCCCCGGGTTATCCGTCATCCTCAACATCACCAGGCTGGCCAGCGGGCCAAACGTCCGGTCCTCGATCTGCGTCAAGGTGTTGAAAGACAGATCCAGGTAGGCGAGCTTGCGCAGGTTGCCAAAAGTAGACTCGGAGATATCCGTCAAAGAGTTGTTGCTGCAGTCCAGGTACACCAGGTCCGACAGGTAGTTGAGCTGCAGCGCCGGCAGGTCGCCGATCCGGTTATTGGAGATGATCAGCTGCCGGGTGGCCAGCGGGATGTCCACGGGGAAGTCGCTTAACTGTTGTCCCGCGCACTGGACCACCAGCTGGTCGTCGCACACGCAGCGGTCCGGGCACCCGGCGGTCAGAGCCGGGGACGGCGCTACATCCATGACGAAGACGAAGAGGAACACCAGCCGCAGTGACTGCAAGCTCGGCTGGGGCAGAACACGCATGATCCCGCCGCCGGCTTCATCGACTGTGCGTGCGCTCGCGCATTCTTCATTGATCTGCGGGATCCGGTTCGGTCGTTGCTGCTGGCCAGGAATGTTTCTGTGTTACTGAGCCGATGCTGTTCTTGGGATCCTCTCGCAAGTCTCCTCAACAGCGAAGGTGACCGTGCTTGGCGCGTCTTTAGTCCGTACTGTGGAGATCACCATGAGCTCATTCGTTGCTCAAGGGTCCTGGAAATAGTTAGTTGTGAATTTTTCTTAGTCCCGGGTTAAACACTTGAACTGATTTGCCCACAAGTCCATGAGTGTGATTCCGCGTTGAAACGCAGTTAAGTTGGGCGACGCGGTCCTGAGACGCACCATCGCGCTGTGTGTGCTGCTGTACGGCGGATTCTATCTGGTGTGTGTTGCGCTGCTTCTCTCTGCAGCTGTGAGTGAGTGAGTGAGAGTGTGAGAGAAAGAGAGGGAGGTTGTTGCACTGAGTCTGACACAATGTCTGTGTGTCCTGCTAATTTGGACAGGGGAAAAACACCTGCGTACACCTCTTAAAAGCTTTCAACACAGGTGCACTGCGCTCATGGAGCACACAGGTGGATGCACTTTTTAAGGTTAAATGTTTAGAACAGTACATAGTATAGTATAGCATGGTTTAGTACAGAAGTCCGGGGCTACAGGATTATGAGTCAAAAGTCCAGTTACAAGGCTAACAAAGATAGGTTCTACGTTTTGATAAGGTTCCCATTAAGTTATGAAAACGTAATGTTCTCTCAACATATAGGAACATTCCATTTTATCATTCGGCAAACATTATGGGAATGTTACGTTTCAATGTTCTCTGAACGTTTTCAAACAAAACAAATAATCGTTTTGAACTAATCCAGTTGAATGAATGATTCACTCAGAAAAGACAGCATCTAGTCGTCGCTCACTGGTCAGCAATATATAGAAGCACATAAATGTAGTATGATAGTAGCCATAGTCTAAACAGACAAAACAAGTCAAGGAACCAGAAAAAGAGTCCCACTACATATTGTGTTGTCGGTCTAGGTTCTCCTCAGTAACTCAGTCATCTGTGTACAGTGATGTCACAAGACTCCATCCCTGACGTAGCAGAAACAGAGGAGGGACAGAGTGTACAGCCACTGACTTTGACCGTCTTGATTCTGTCTGTGAGGCGAGACAGATGGAGAGAGAGTCCGTTGCATTCGAGCTGACGCATGTGCAAGAGAAACATGATATGCACATCTACAGCATGGAGCCTGTTCTATTATTGTTGTGGGGGATCATTGTGTCCTCCTGTATCAACAAACATAGGGCAAATCATTATCGAATGAAACTATTCTTCATTTGAAGATCTCAGTCTGTTCCTCCCGGGGTTTTGCACCAACAAGCCTACATGTGAAAATCATGATTCATTTGATTGTGTAACTTTTATTGTGGTGGAGTAACACTTGCCTTTAGATGTTCAGACCTCCCACAGGTAAATCGACTCACCAAGTAGAGCCGTTGTTGTGTAAGACTGGGGCACGATACTCCATACTGGTTGTGTGGGACTGGAAAAAGTCATAACAAATCAGTTGTACAGTGTGATATGTGTCCAAAACTCTGCTCAAGGTGTTTGAGTTGAATCAAATAAAGTTCCACAACAATAAACAAACATGCTCTGATGCGTTAATATGGGTGGATTGTATTTTAGTTCTAAGAATACTCAAATTAACAGGAAAAAAGTACTAATGTGATTTTAAGGTTTCTACACCTGGCAAGTTATAAATCAGATTTATTATAATTAATACATTTTGTATAATTGTGACTTTATTTGTTGTAATTGTGACTTTACATTTTTTAATGGCAACTTTATTTTCATCATTATAATTTTATGTCTTACAAATTAGACTTTATTTGTCGTAATAAATAAAGTCCTGTCAGGCGTGCTGCTGAGTGGTTTGCGATTTAGTCTTTCTGTTGGAACAGTGCCGGCCCGTCCAACAGGCGGTACAGGCGGTCGCCTAGGGCCCCGCCTTAAGGGGAGGGACCCGAGGCCGCGAGGTTGTCAATTAAATTTCAAGGTGTGTTCGACTTCAAGCGGTGCGGTGCAGACAGATCGGTGTTTGACATCGAAGTACTGCGAGAGCTAGGCCTTTATACAAATGGACAGTTCTGCATACTTTCCTATCCTATGTCAAACACTTATCAATCTACAGCGGCCCTTTAAGTCAACACACATACAGATGACGCACCAGGGCTGTACAGTGCGTTTAAACACATTTAATGACGTTTTTGCTCTAAATTCATTTCATAACATCAGTTGAGTGTTTGAAATAACTTCCTTTTGTGATCTGACGTGGTTTCATATCACAGAATGAGGCACAATCACTTTATAATATTCTATACAGTGATAAAGGCTATGTTGATTAGCATTGCATTATAAATATACTGTACATTATGCATATAAAAAATACCCGTGATGGCTTGAAGAACAGAGATACACCATTTAGTCACAATCGTATGTTTATTGTCTTCATTCTTCATCAGTTAAAACATCCTATCTGCGTTTTATTCAGCTACTGCAGCGATAGCATATGCCTTTGTCCATATTAGGAATTTCCTCCAACGTGATTTTTGTGAGTATTTAATTTTATGATTGTTCACTTATGGTTTTACTACATGAGGCCGCCCTCCGGCTACCAGTATGAATGAAACTACAGCTACTCACTACACCTTATTTTGGGTAATATGTTTTTCTCCAGTGTAGAGGAGTTTTCTCTCTCTCTCTCTCAGTGGATGCATAATATTTCCTGACAAAAATTTAAAAATTACTGTTAACTGTTTATAAATCCTTAGACCTTTCTAAACAATTATAAACTTCCTGCATGTTAACAGGTCATGCTGCAGTTTTCTGTAAACTATGTTAATAATAATCATTATCAATAATTATTACTTTGTTTAATGATTTACTTAGTTATAACTATAATCAGAATTATTAGTATTCATATTGATATATAAAAACTAAAACTAAAAATTGGGCCAAATTGTGCAGATCTACAAACAGGCACAGAAAACTTAGTGTTATTTATAATTTCTGGCAAATAAAGAAAAAGTTTATCTGAAAACTTTTCTAGTTACAGTTCAGATTTTGTGTGCAGATTTTGTTGGTTCAGATTTTAGAATTGAAATGAAAGAATGATAGAGAGATTAAAGTGAAATTGTAGTAGAAACGGAATCCAAACGGTATCTTTATGGAGCCGAAAAAAAAGGATGTTCTGACTGCTATTCATAATACTTATTGCTTTAGTATTAGTTTTATAAATGCAATGACGCCCATGATCACAGACAGACTTGTCATATGTTTAAATTGCTATGACAATTTTTACACTAGTGGGGCCTATTTTTGTTATCTTGCCTACGGGCTGGCACTGTGTTGGAATCTCTATCTTATGATCACTCTGTTGTTTAAACTGCTAAAATATACCTTAATTCTCACCATATTTCTGATACTATCTATCAAACTAATTTGACATTGTTCACTTTTTAATCTAAACCGCTAGCACAGCGCGTTAGTGATAAATGCAGGGAAACATGCATCCAAACTATAATTGAAGATAGCAAGAATGTGAGGGCCTAGATCCGGCTTTGGATGCGACTAGCTTAGCGAGTCCCTTAAATTGTTCAGTTCCAATTGCAGAGCCCCCGCAGCAGGGCGACTGGGTGGCGGCATAGTTGCGGGACAAAACACCGCTCTTCCGTTCCGATCAAAACATTAAACAGGTTCTCCACACTCAGTGAGAAACATGTTGAAAGAGTCCTAGTTATTGGTGATTCTATTGTACGGAACGTGAAAATAGATACACCAGCCACCATAGTTCAATGTTTACTGGGAGCCAGAGCGCCTGACATCTTGGCAAATTTAAAAGTGCTGGCTAATGCTAAACGTAAATTCAGTAAGATCGTTATTCACGCTGGCGCTAATGATGTTCGACTTCACCAGTCGGAGATCAATAAAAATAACATTAAAGGGGTCATATGATGTTGCTAAAAATAACATTATTTTGTGTATTTGGTGTAATGAAATGTGTTTATGCGGTTTAAGGTTAAAAAAACACATTATTTTCCACATACTGTACATTAATGTTTCTCCTCAATGCCCCGCCTTTCTGAAATGCGTCGATTTTTACAAAGCTCATCGTTCTAAAAAAAAAGTGAGGTGTACGCTGATTGGCCAGCTATCCAGTGCATTGTGATTGGCTGAATACCTCAAGCGTGTGACGGAAATGTTACGCCCCTAACCATACTGTGATGCTGTGTCCTGGCGCGACGAGACAAAACCAATAAAACCCATTACAAAAGAGGCATTTGTAGCATCCAGTGGGGACATAATTATGGATTATAATGACTTATACTGTCTTTTTATGTGTTGTGTTGCGCTGGAGCGACGAGACAAAAACATTAAAACCCATTATAAACGAGGCATTTGTTGCATCCAGTGGGGACATAATTACGGATTATAATGACTTATACTGTCTTTTTACACGTTGCATCGCGCAGCATAAACATAAAACCATGTCTGCATTTGTAATCGGAGAAACGACAAACAACAAGCGCTACACTGCTCAAAATTCGTGTTTGAATCATCAGTGGAAAATTCTTTAAATATGAAAACGTACTTACAGTCTGTCAGAACAGCCGGCATTGTAGTCTACTCTCCCAGGATCAGGAAACAGTCCTCCATAAAATGCGCTGCATACATCTGAATATTTGGGTTGAACTGTTCCGGAACAGTGTTGTAAATACAACTTAACCACTGATTTCTAGTCGTGTCCTCTTTTGGAAGGCCAAACAAAGTATTTTCGCTTTTGCAACGAAACGCACAGCGTCTTCACAACATGGCGGCGGTGGTGACAACAACAATAAAGTTACGCCATGTTTCTTTGCATGAACATTTGGGCGGTGTTATGCAAATCTTCCCACACAGTGACGTAGACATGTGGGGGCGTGTTTAAATGAGGCATTTTAGGAGGGCGTGGATGAGTCTTACATTTTATAATGAGTATCTCTTTGGGTTTGAGACTTTAGTCTTTGCAACTTTAGGGATCTTATCTATTCACGAACAGCTTGTAACACTCCAAAGAGAAAGGAAAACTTGAAATCGCATCATATGACCCCTTTAAAGAGGTGTGTGAACGTGGAAGTACGATGTCAGATATTGTGTCTATGTGATTCTCAGCACATAGACACTCTTTCACCTAGATAGCATTCTACAGAGACTGTCTGTTTCCCGAACTAGCAAATACAAAAAATGTCCAAACAAATTTAAGGGTAACAATTTAATAATTTCTCAGAGGTCTGGTTTCAGTTATAATTTGTTTTAAGTAATCATGCTTTATATAACATTATCTAATGTAATAAGTGTTAATGATAAATTCCTTGTGACGTTTGTACTGGCTACTGTATACAAGCCACCAGGGCACCATAAAGACTTTAGCCCCTTTCACACATTCAGACTTTACTGGTAAATTACCAGCAAATTACCGTAAAGAGATCATGTGTGAACAGGACATTTTAAAAAATACAGGTAAATTTGTTCTGGTAA